GTATTTATATTGTATTTTTAAGTTAATGTCACTTGTTTACACTTTTTATTTTGGGAGTATTAATAGGTACTTTATGTAAGCTATTTATATTGTATTTCATATGTTCAGTTCATTTTTTTGTATTTGTTTCTTTAATTCTTTCTAAGTATTTTGAATGTGCAATTGCTTTATTTAAATAAAAGAATGTCCAAGACAAAGCTATTACGTTTCTTATGAGTATATACACTAGCAGTGGAATTTACTGCGATGCAACGGGGCGCCACCTGAAATCTTGCCTAGGGCGCCAAATTGGTTAGGGCCGGGCCTGGCTGCAGCAGCACAGATTTATAAAATGGAAGTTCAGCCACAACTCGCTGCGATACAGTTCCCATTGTACCACGATTTCTGACTTGGACGCACCGAGTAGTAGCATTTATAATTCAGGACAGTGAAGAAACCAAGTTTCTGACCCGGTGTTCTACCGAATTGTGTTGCTTAGCGGTTCTGCTGGTGCGCAGACGCACAACCGGGTTGGCTACTAACTGCGTATCGCAACCTGGCAGTAAGTCGTCAGTGCACCGGCATTGAATGCAACACGGGGGCCCCATCATTTTTTTTCCTGTTATAGAAGGAGGGAGAAGGGGGACTCTATGTGACTCTTCTCCCCGCCCCCAGTCAGTATGAGGTGGATTTACGAAGAAAGGGATCTAAACCTGGGACGCGGAGATATGGAAAGACCACAATAAAGAGATACACATCTGAGATCCGCGCGCTGCGGTATTGCGCACGGATTATTATAAGATGTTTTCTTTTTCTGTCATGAAGGAGATTCTTGCGTGGAGCGTCTAATCTGGGGGAAGGAGTACAAACGCACGGGGATTAAAGGAGTATGTTGTACTCTCTCCCTCCGTTAATCGACCGTTCTGCCGCCCGAGAAGCAGGATTGCTGCGTTTTTTTCCCTACTATCTGGTAAAAGTAACTGTTTTCTGAGAGAATACGACCGCTTACCACAAAGAAAACGGATTTATAAAGCTGTCCCCCGTAAAGCAACCAGGGGGTAGTCTCAGAAACGCTTCTCACACCGGTCGAGTAAGTGCTCACAACTTTTTTCTTCTTAACTCTCAAAACGCTTGATATGAGTAGAGAGGACGAGTTAAATATATTATACGATGCAAAAGAGTGCTGTGAGTTGGGGGAAACGTACATTTTTCAACTTTACCATA